AAAAAACACATTAATTTATTTTCACAAAAAAAAAAACCCAGAAAAAAATACAAAACATGATGAACATTTCCTCAAATTCTGAAAAGTGTTCTAATATTTCCCATTATACATGTAAATGTATCAATTAAGAAATACTGATTTTATGAGAGAAAAATTATTAGTCTGCATATATGCTGCCCGTCACTTCCAATTTTATTCTTATTAACCAATTTGATATTGATATGTCACAGCCTGACAGGGGCTCAAACACCTAACTAACCCTTGGAACATTGTTCTTTGGAAAGAAAGGACGGTATTTTACCCCCATCAATCAGGAGAAAAGTCACAAACTCTTATTATTAAACCAGGATTGAGCCTTAAGTGCAGACAATATTAACCTAATGTTCGGGAATACAAGGGAAAATACAACATTGTTTTACATAAATTTATAACCTTAATTTCATTTGCAATAGAAGTGCCATTTAAGCTCTTAAATTGTTTATTTAGATATAATTTTGGTAAAGATCCCAGTCAGTACCTATAGTATTAAAAGTCACGACAGGTCTTTAAAGTAACATGCATTTCCTATTCCCTTCTGACATTAAAACTGAAGATATCATCAAAAACTCTATTTATAGCAATGTTTCACCATCATATATCTATCTATCTATCACTTAAAACAGGTGTTTATGGGGACCCTGTTTGTTTACTTTAGTCCTTTTTTTACTTTTTGACACCTGTTTACTTCATTTAATTTGTAAGTTGTATCTCTAGTAAAGTCCATACCAGATTAGTTTTTTTTTGCATTAAATATCACCTAATAACTATAGAGCCAAATGAATCTGTAGATATTAATTAAATCAATAAGAATCATGTTTTTACTTGAATAACCAAATTAATTAAAATTCTCCTAAAAATAGAAAATATTTAGTGAAATAACCCTAATTTAATAAGATTAGGCTTAATAAATCCCAAAAATAACCAAAACAGCTATAAAAATCCATACAATTGTATGATAATTATTAACAAACATCTTTAAGGGTCCAAACAAAAAAATCCCTATGAACTTGTATAAAAGTTACAATGATTATTCTACATAGCCTAACAATTTCAAGATAAGATTTTAGTCAATCCAACAATAAATGAGGTAATTTTACCCTAATTTAACTTCTCCTACAAGAAAATGTCTATAGTTTATTAATTTGATATAATAATATCTATTTACAACAATATTTAACTGACTTGGAAAAGAAAACCCCATCAAATTCCATCGGAAACTAAATAAGTTATGACATAATAATCAATTATAATGGCCATTTACAGTCCAAGGGAGATAACTGTGAAAAATGGACCTCGCACTGATTTTTCAGCATGCAAATTAAATTAACTGAATAAGTTAAGTTCTATACACACAAGATATATCAAATATAATTGAATACAGCTTATTGAGAGTTTAAAAGAGTTAATCTAACCAATTACAACATAAGATTCTTTGATAATATAGGAAAAAGAAAACTTTTATAGCCAATAAATGAAAATACCACTAAATAGCAGGAGTTATCTGCTCTCCCCTTTATAACAAATACATATATGACTTATATGACATATGATATGTTTTAAACTAGTTTGTGTAAATATAATCATATGAAAAGTGCTGTGATAGGTCTACAATGTTAATAAATTCTAGAAAATGTTCTTTAACTACTTTATTTAATGATTATAACTCTTTAAAATAACGCTTTATATTCATGTCAGAAGAGAAATTAAACATAATATGATAAATGTTGAACCCTGATATAAAATTATTTTTTTACCTGGGTGCCAGAGACCATACTTTAAACCTTAAATATTTGAGCCGCGTCATGACAAAACTAACATAGAGTGTTTGTGACCAGCATGGATCCAGACAAGCCTGCACATCCGCGCAGTCCTATCAGGATTCATGCTGTTTGCTATCAGTATCTCTACATGTTATAGGATTTGTAAGCGAACAGCATGGATCCTGATCAGACTGAACAGATGCACAGGCTTGTCTGGATCCATGCTGGTCGCAAACACTCTATGTTGGTTTTATCATGACGCGGCTCATATGTTAATAATCTTATTTTTATGCCCCCACAGAGTGGGAGCATATAGCGTTGCACTTGTTCGTCCGAGTGTCCCTCCGTCTGTCCGTCCTTCCGTACGTCTGTCCGTACGTCCCGAAATCTTGTGAATGCAAATCCTCTTAAACTGGATGGCAGATTTTGCTTAAACTTCCAGGGATGAACAACCTTAATGTGTAGATGGTAGTAAAGGAAGGAATTTTTGCTGTGACCAGATTTAACAGAATTATGGCCCTTTGTTGATTTTTTCAGTATATACTATGTAGAAATTTTGTGAACGCAACTCCTCTTTAACCGGATGGCAGATTTTGCTTAAACTTCCAGGGATGAACAACCTTAATGTGTAGATGGTAGTAAAGGGAGGAATTTTTGCTGCGACCAAATTTAACAGAATTATGGCCCTTTGTTGATTTTTTCACTATATACTATGTAGAAATTTTGTGAACGCAACTCCTCTTAAACCGGATGGCAGATTTTGCTTAAACTTCCAGGGATGAACAACCTTAATGTGTAGATGGTAGTACAGGGAGGAATTTTTGCTGCACCAAATTTAACATAATTATGGCCCTTTGTTGATTTTTTCACTATAAACTTATATGTAGAAATTTTGTGAACACAACTCCTTTTAAACCGGATGGCAGATTTTGCTTAAACTTCCAGGGATGAACAACCTTAAAATGTGTAGATGGTAGTATTTAAAGAAAGGAATTTTTGCTGCAACAAAATTTAACAGAATTATGGCCCTTTGTTGATTTTTAGTTTTCAACTTGTGGCACATTTAGTCCAAAAAATATTTGACCTAGAGTCATAAGATTGACAGAACAGTGGAGTGTGGGGGCATCCGTGTCCTTTGGACACATTTCTAGTTTTCTATATATCTCAATAAACTAGGTAATTTATAGTCGTTTTACTCCCTACAGTACGTGCCTCCTCCATGAAAAATAATAAGTTTAACATTCATTTAAAAATACTTTAATATGTTGTTTTTTTCATTACGTTACAGTGCTGATATATATTGCCTAACCTTATATTACTAATTTAAACCAAAGTTTTGTTGAATATTCAGTTATATATATTAAGCAGTACTTAAATCTCTTTCTAAACAGATACGTTACAATGATAAACAGATACGTTACCAGAAGTTATACAGTCCTCTACATTTTATTTTTAATACAAATTTTGCAAACCAAAAAGATATCAACATACATGTATATTTATTCCAGGAAATAAAACAGTAAATCTTTATATGTTTCTTTCCTGTTTTTCAACATTTTATTTTCTAGAAAACTCAACTAATCCTTGAATTTCAAATTCCTGATTCACATTTTCAGTTTTCCAATAAAATCAAGATCAATGTATCGGCTACACGTACGTTATGCTGTGATTTTTAACATGAAACCAGATTTCAAAACTGAGCAAAATCGCCAATTAAGATTCAAACAATAAATATTGGTAATGTATCTGTTGGTAACGTATCTGTTGGTCAAAAATCTAAAATATATCAGATATTCACATATGTTTGCCAAATTGATCAAATATTAAGTTTTATAAAGCATATATTTGAATAATGCAATAAATGCGATCCTACTTTTTAAGTGCTGGTAATTATAAATGTTTCTCAGTGGGATATCATGGTAACGTATCTGTTTCACTTTAAAGTAATTAATCCAATTTGCCTCATCATTGCAAAGTCATTGTGGTTCTAGCATGTATATTGTAGTCAAAATTATTTTTAAATTATGAAATATGATAAAACTTGAGTTCAATAGCAAACTATTTATATGTTACTGAAGTTCATATTACTTTTACTCAGGTTTACCTAAAGTGTGGTAACGTATCTGTTCAATATATGAGGGACATGCATTTAAGCTGGTAACTTTTTTCCAAATTTTTTTTCAAATCGTTCACTGAGCAGGGGTCTAACTGAGCTATTTTGATATGTACTCCTTAAATAGGGGGGTTCTGGGGGCATGCTCCCCCGAGAAAATTTTTGGAAGAGGAAGTGATATCCTGGTATTTCGTGACTATCTAGAGGCTATATTGAGAAAATAGTGCCAACAATGCTTTCCAGTGTTTTAACTGTAGTAAATTGGCTATAAGACTAATTGCAACACTGATAGTCAATTCAATGTTTATTTGACTTAAAAATTTAAAAAAAAAATGAGTTGCCTCAACTGGGATTTGAACTTGAGACCTCTCGATTCATGAGCGAGCGTGCAAACCCCTCGGCCACAGTGATATTATAAGTTAAAGACATGAAGAAAACCATATTTTTCTAAATTAGGGTTTGTAACTCTTATTATTTCGACGCTCAACACAGATGTAAATAATCATGGAGCTTTAACTGTAAGCTGTATAATGTTTATCTATAAAGAATGAAACAATATTAGAAATCTTTGACCATTCGGGAACTACTTTGCTTGAAAATTAATGCGCCTGTAATTTGACAATCTTTACGCATTGATCTCTGAATTTTTAGGCGTCAGTGTACATATAATATGGGAAGTAACCGCTTCAAAAAAGTGGACTACTTTAGGCATTTGCAATTAACAGCATTAGGCTCTGAAATTTCGCTACCATTATTTGTTTGGTCTGACGACCCAAACAAATAAAAAAATGTAAATAATTATGTTGCAGACAAAATTCAAAGACAAGTTAATTAAAGAACAGTTTATATAATACATATTGATTATTAATATTTCAAAATAAAAACTGTGATAAAAATATTTATTTATTACACATATATGTGTAAATCTACGTATATATATACCGCAGCCTGGTAACTATTAATATTGAAATTTAGATTTTACTAAATATTTGTTAAATTTTATTTCATTTTATTTTATTTAAATAAAGTCTATTCTACTACAAATGAAGAGAAATCAAAGACAAGTATAAATAAACGATTATTTGAGAACTACTTCGGTGATTGGTTGGTAACCATACTGTAGTGAACAGGATTGCCAAGAGTTACTGCCCTTTTATAGCAATCCGCCATGACCAGGTAATGCATGGAAGGCAGTATTAATATTTTGTAGGTAATCTTTATTGTTGAATGCTTAAATAATTTATGAATGTTGAATGGTTATTTATAATATTATAATGAATAAAATTAGGAATCATATATAGGTAATTACTTTTTGTGGAAACAATATGCGCAAATGAATAACGATTCGTCACTTTACGCCCCACTGGTGACGATTGAATGCCAGACATTTCACTCCTGAGATATTTCTGTATCAGAGCAACAGATAAGCTTTAAAAGTGAATTGGGTATTACTCCATCATTTCCTTTGGAATTGGGTATCGACTCCATTTAATTGGGTATTCCAAAACTCGATACCCATGATTTCAAGATCAATTGGGTATTCAATTATGAAGATATGAATTTTATGGTTTCAATATCAATAAAATTTAAACTGTTTTAAAAAGAAAATAGGATTAAAAATTCACTAGAACTTTTCACAATTGTATTATTTTTTTATATTATTTTTTTATATAAAATGCTCATGTTATATTTCGTAATATTTTTAACAAGTTCGTTTTCTGACTAATTTTTGATTTACGATTGTTTTTTTAAAAATCATTTTCCCTTTTGTACGACGCCAAATTGCTTTCAAAGCGTCTATTGATACAGCTGGGACCTACTTATTGACGGTCTCCGCAAAATCAACGGTCTCTGCCGGTCTATAAAGACCGTCGACTTGAGTAGAAAAATCGACGGTCTCGTGCTTTATTGATATGGCTTAGTCGGTCTTTGGAGACCGGGGACCGTCGAAGACCGGAGACCGTCGATAAGTTAGCATTGATTCGGGAATATTCGGATAGCATGCATATCAATATAATTTGTCCAAAACTACGAGCGTACGACAGATTAATTTTGCGGTGATGAAAATGACAATACGCAAGGGTTTTTAAGACAATTGCGTATTTTATTTTTTTTAATGGGTTTTGATACGCATTCTTAAAAAATCAATTGCGTATTTTATAAAATTAATTGCGTAAATACGCAAATACGCACCTTATCTGTTGCTCTGCTGTATTGAGACATTTTACTCCCAAGACGGTTCACACCCAGACGTTTCACTCCAAATTTGTAATTGTATGGACGTTTCACTCCCATTTTTTTTTTTAAAAATGTTTATAATAATTTAGGAAAGTTAACAATTTTTTTGTTCGTTGAATAATAATATCTAAAGGAAATTAAATTTTATATTTGATTTTTATTGATATTGAGGGTATTGTTAATAAGAATTTATGAATTTGAAGAAAAAAATTATGAAATGATTATGTTATAGAATGTGTAAATAACATAATCTAACATAATCTGCTCAGAAAAGCGAATTTTGTTCTGTTTAAACAGTGTTTTGAATTATTCATGTTATTAGAAGTGAATATATTGGTTTCAATGAGGACATATCATATGATAAATTATTTAATATTAGAAGATTACTCATTCAATTATGGGTTGAATTATGAGAGGTTTAAATGAAAGATAAATTTCTAAAATTTTATATTTTAACAACATGAGAAAATTCTATTTATAATAGATTAAAAAAGATAATAGAATAACATAAAAATGAAAATTTATTAAATATATTTATTATTTTTTATAACTCTAAAACTATGAAATGCAAAAAAAAGTGTATTATTTAATTAAATCAACTATTCTTTTAGATTATTTCTTTATCAATTTATCAAACAGTAGCCTTTAAACAAACTTATGTAATTGTGGTGATAACAATAATCTTGTCACCTAATTAGTTGTATAAACACTGTTTGGGGGGTTTGAAGGGGGGCGGAGTCCCCCTCATCGCCAAGAAAATTTTGGACATGTGACAGGCTAAAAATGGCCTCAGGTCTATCTTAGGGTAACTAGTAACCGATGCTGAAAAGCCTTTTACTCTATCTCAATTCATTGAGAAGTGGCAGCACTTTGAAATCAGTTTTGATGGAAAAAAACAATGCAAAATAGTGATTTTTGGCAATTTTGAGACGTCCCCCCGTTGCCATGGTAACAGGAAATTTACAATTGAGCACTATGGTGTAGTCATCATTTGTGCCAAGTTTCATCAGTATTGAAGCATTTTTCATAGTTTCATAGCAGTTTGAACTTGTAACAGGAGGCTTTTCAATGAAAACGGCCATTTTTCACAATATGGCTATGGGGTAAAAGGTTAATTAAGCAAATAAAAAATGTCACAAAACAACAACTTTTCACCAAAATTGAGTATAAGGACACGTGCTAACATGGAGAAACTAGTTTTTGGGTAATTCCAAGGTTTTTCATCATATTTTGTTAATTAAAAAAATAAAAAATGTCAAAAAAACAACAATGTTTCACCAAAATTCAGTGTTTGGGCACGTGTTAACATAGAAAAACTAGTTTTTGGGTAATTCCAAGGTTTTTCATCATATTTTGTTAACCTTTTCCCTCATATAAGCGTGTTTCGACGGCTTTTTTGCCCCCCCCCCTTTTGAGGCCTCAAACAGTGAAAAAATGCCCTATTTAGGTCCCAAACACTGGTTTTCGTTTGAGAAATGTTGTTAAAAAAAGTGACCACTTTTTCGGCGCCGTCCCCCATCTAAATGTTACATTAGGGGGTTGCCAGAAGGGGATGTCCCCTTCTGTTTGGGGGGTTTGAAGGTGGGCGGAGTCCCCTTCATCGCCAAGAAAATTTTGGACATGTGACTGGCTAAAAATGGTCTCAGGTCGATCTTAGGGTAACTAGTAACCGACACTGAAAAGCCTTTTACTCTATCTCAATTCATTGAGAAGTTGCAGCACTTTGAAATCAGTTTTGATGGAAAAAAACAATGCAAAATAGTGATTTTTGGCAATTTTGAGACGTCCCCCCGTTGCCATGGTAACAGGAAATTTACGATTGAGCATGCTGTTACAGAGGCTATGGTGTAGTCAACATTTGTGCCCAGTTCCATCAGTATTGAAGCATTTTTCATAGTTTCATAGCAGTTTGAACTTGTTACAGGAGGCTTTTCAATGAAAACGACCATTTTTCGCAATATGCTCATGGGGTAAAAGGTTAAATCAGTTGTTTTTTGGACTTCAGACAACAGCCACATATAAAAAAGGTTTTGGGAACAAAAACTTCTCCAAAATTTTTGTATTAAAATATATAACAAAAATAAAATAATATTTAATCAGATAATAAGATATAAATTATATTAGATGATCCAATCAAGCAAAAAAGCTAAACTTTAACAATTATGATATACAAACTTAAAAGTACTGAGACAAAGTGAAATCCTTTTTAATTTATTTTTATTAAATTTAAGGTATATTTTAGTATATCACAAGTATCAGAATAATTTGGGAGTGAAACGTCTTGGTGTGAACCATCCCAATAGTGAACTATATGTCTACCCTAGTGACGATTCGCCTCAGCTTAGTAACAAATCGCCACACTTGGTAAAAGTTATTGAAAAATTCAATTGAAATATCTTAAGTCTCAGTAAAAATGTAGTTGCATTAGAATAAATAAATGAGCCGTGTCACAACAAAACCAACATAATGGGTTTGCGACCAGCATGGATCCAGACCAGCCTGCGCATCCGCGCAGTCTGATCAGGATCCATGCTGTTCGCTTACAGATCCTATTACAAGTACAGAAACTGATAGCGAACAGCATGGATTCTGATCAGACTGAGCGGATGCGCAGGCTGGTCTGGATCCATGCTGGTCGCAAACCCATTATGTTGGTTTTGTTGTGACGCGACTCAAATGATAGATTTAAATGGATGTTTTAGTGAAGTCCAAATAATTAGTTAAAAAAAATGTTACGTGTTATTAAATTATTTGAAATACCCTGCAAACACTTACCTGTAAAACCATCCAAAGGTACCATAAACAGCACTAGAAAGTCAAGGAAATAACACCATTTTCAACCTCATATTTCAAAATTTTCTCAGTTTATGGGAGGGGACACCCCTCCCACGCCCATCCCAATGACATATATTTTACTTACTTTCATATCATCTAAATATTTACCGAAATATTAGTATACACATATATAAGCGAAAAGTTACTTGTCACTCATCAGATGAGTTATAAAACACATAAATTACAATTTTTGTCACATGAACAAGATATTGGCCCAATCTTCAAACATGTACATTTTTCGCCTGTTGCAATATTTTTGTCAAAATCTTCCACCCATATGTCAGCCTCAACCAGGTAACCATGTTCTGCATCCGCCCCTCCCAGTTTCCTTACATAGCCTTTCTGAAAATCAATCATATTTTCAAATCAAATGTTATCTATAATAAAAAATATACTAAATAATTTATGAAAAAATATACTAAATATATGCAAAACATATCAATGTGTGGATCCAAAAAAAGAGGTTTATTATACAGTGAGACAAATCGTCACTAAAGTGCGGGTGATAATCAGACTTTATGTGTAATATTTGATTTTTTGGGAGATAAAGATTCTCTTTGTAATAGTTAGATGCTTATAAGAAAAAATGAAATGGTTGAAACAGCTTAAAAGGAACGACATAGGAGTGACTGTAGCTGTTTTATATTTTAATTATACCCCCGCACAACAAAGTTGTAAGGGGGGTATACTGAAATCAGCTTGTCCGTCCATCCGTCCGTCCGATTTTTGACGTCCGTTGATTTTGAGGTCACTAGGTCAAAGGTCAAGGTCACAGGGGCCTTGACTTCAAAAAGCTTGTCCGCTCAATAACTTAAGATTCCTTTGACCTACAGTCGTCATATTTGGCATGGAGGTTAGTCATGATTAGTAGATGACCCCTATTGATTATGAGGTCACTAGGTCAAAGGTCAAGGTCACAGGGGCCTTGACTTTAAAAAGCTTTTCTGCCCAATAACTTAAGATTCCTATTTTTTGACCATAGTCTTCATATTTGGCATGGAGGTTAGTCCTGATTAGTAGATGACCCCTATTGACTTGAGGTCACCAGGTCAAAGGTCAAGGTCACAGGGGCCTTGACTTCAAAAAGCTTGTCCGCCCAATTACTTAAGTTTCCTTTGACCAACAATCTTCATATTTGGCATGGACGCTAGTCATGATAAGTAGATGACCCCTATTGACTTTGAGGTCACCAGGTCAAAGGTCAAGGTCACAGGGGCCTTGACTTCAAAAAGCTTGTCCGTCCAATAACTTAAGATTCCTTTGACCCACAGTCTTCATATTTCGCATGGAGGTTAGTCATGATTAATAGATGACCCGTATTGACTTTGAGGTCACTAGGTCAAAGGTCAAGGTCACAGGGACTTTGACTTCAAAAAGTTTGTCTGCCCAATAATTTTAGAATCCTTTGACCCACAGTTTATATTTGGCATGGATGTCGATCATGATTAGTAGATGACCCCTTTTGATTTTGAGTCACTGGATCAAAGTCAAGGTCATAGGGTCTTCGACTTTAAAAAAGTTTGTCCACCCATTACTTAAGATTCCTTTGGACCCACAGTCTTCATATTTTTGCATGGATGTTGATCCATGACAATAGGTGACCCCTATTGATTTTGAGGTCAAAGGTCAAGGTCACAGGGACCTTGACAAAAAAAAAGGCTTTTCTTCTCAATTGCTAAAGAATGTCCTGTCCACAATGTATTGATTTTGACATTTTCACATTTGAAGCATGTAGAATACATAACTTAGCAACGCACGGGCTTAGTAACCTCAGATTTGGCAGGGAGGTTGTCCTTTAGCTCTAAATGGCCACTGTTGATTCTGACAAAGTGGTATGCGGGGGTATTCACGCCATGATAGTGGCAGTTCTAGTTTTTCCTGTTTAGCATGTAGCTAAGAAGTTGGCCCATTTTCGAAGACAATTGTAATGTTTTACCAAATATATCCAACGTTTATTAGTGGTGATGGGCAAGTGAATACTATTTATGTAAAATAGAATATCAAAATTAATAAAATTAATGCCTTTTATTTGAACTAAAACGTACTGATTAGATGAGCTTTGCTGTCTCCTCTGACAGCTCTTGTTTAAGTAATAACTATATACAAATAAGGGGACATCAATGACCCACTTATATAGGGCCAATTTAGACCTAATTTCTATAATTTGAACAAACTTTTAGATGTCCACTAGATAATGTTTCATGTTAAATATCTAAAGCTATTTGATTGTCATGTACATGTATTTATGATCTAAAATAATTTTAATTTATATTTATTATTTTATAGAAAGCCTGACTCCTGATGCAGTTGCTGAACTGTATGTGAAAAATCGTAAGACATACAGTTAAAATATTATTCACACAGAGCCCTAGAAATCAACAGAAGTTACACATTAGAATACATACTGGAGAAAAAACATTTGCACCTGGAAAATTCAGGCATGTTGAGCAATAAATGTAAAATTGATGAGGACACATTCAGCTCTATGGGCAATTTGAAACAAATGAGAATTCACACTGGAGAAAAACGTTATAAATGTAATGATTGTGATGCCACATTCACCCGTATGGGTAGTCTGAAGGGACATATGATGATACATACTGGAGAAAAGCCTTTTAAATGTGATAAATGTAACTCTGCTTTCACCAGAATTACTGTTCTTAAGGATCACATGAGGGTACATACTGGAGAAAAACCTTTTAAATGTAAAGTCTGTTTTGGTGCTTTTACCCACATGAGTACTCTTAGGCGACATATGAGCATACATACTGGAGAAAAACCTTTTTCATGTAAAGTATGTAATTATACTTTCAGCACTAAATATGATCTGACAAAGCACTTGAGGATACATTCTGCCGATAAACCTTTTAAATGTAGAGTCTGTAACAATGCATTCAGTCAGATTGGCAATTTGAGTCAACACATGAGGATACATACTGGAGAAAAGCCTTTTAAATGTAAAATCTGTGATAATGCATTCAGCCAGGTTGGCAATTTGAAGCGACACAGGAGGATACATACTGGGGAAAAACTTTTTAAATGTAAAATCTGTTTGGGTACTTTTACCCACATGAGCAGTCTGAAGCGACATATGAGCAAACATGCTGGAGAAAAACCTTTTTCATGTACAGTATGTTATTATACTTTCAGCACTCAATGTGATCTGACTAAACACTTGAAGGTACATACTGCAGAAAAACCCTTTAAATGTAAAGTCTGTTTTGGTACTTTTACCCTTATGAGTAGTCTGAAGCGACATATGAGCATACATACTGGAGAAAAACCTTTTAAATGTAAAGATTGTGATGATGCATTCAATCAAGTTGGCAGTTTGAAGCGACACATGAGGAAACATAATGAAGACCAAAATTTTAAATGTTAACTAAAGGTTATACGTTCAGCAGAATGAGAACCAATAATGGAGAAAAAACCTGTAATAAGTAATATTTATGTAGTATACATGATGGCACATTTGAATTATTAATAGCTATCTGAAGAAACACATTAGGACACAACTTAAGACCAACATTTCAGATATCAAGTCAGTTTAGTACATAAAGCAATGTGAGTAATCTGAAGAAAAACATGAGGATGCATACTGAAGAGAAACATTTTAAATGAAAGTATGTGAATTGATGTTACATAGAGCCAAATGAGCAATCTAAAACAACATATGAGGATACATACTGGTGAAAAAACTTTTTAAATGTAATGTTTACGATCAACACATTTAAACTTGATGGCAATTCTGAAGAAACGCATAACACATTATAATGTAAACTATCAGCAACAATTATCACTCTTGATCAGTATACAGTGACGTAGCTTGACATGGTCACCGAGGGAGTAGAAACCAGGTGGTTGAATAACTCCATTCAGAATTATTTCCTACAAGAAATTACTGGCGTGACTGCAGAGTATCAATGGATAATTTCTAAAGATTGGCAGAAAAAAGAACTTAATTGTTTAGCACTGCAAATAAGAATTTATATGACTTTTTTTTTGTTCTTTGTTAATACTGCTTGGGTATTCTACTTTTGACATTTATTATTTCAAGCATATATGACAAGTTTCATAATACTACCATCTTTACTCCTCTTTGAGTTTACAATTTTGCTGTAAAGATGTAAATAACGATACATTTTACTTATCTAAATGTATGTTTAGGGACTGACATTAAATTTTAGATTGTTGTCTTTTGTATCATAACGTATAGACATGTTTGCACATAGTCTTTCTTGTTTTACTGTGTCCATTATCTAGTAGTTTAGCGTGCTGTCTCCTCAGACAATTTTTAGTTAATAAATCTAAAATATGTTCGTGTGACACATCATTGCATTAAACAAAGTTAAATAAATTTTTCAGAAGATCAACAAAATACACTTCCTAGGAAGTTTGGCAAAGTTTGGTTTTGAATGTCCAGATATTATTTAAAAACAATGATGGTAAATACTACACATAATGTGTCATCTCAGTTGCTCACATCTGAGCACTTTGTATTCATGTGAGGTAAAAATGGACCTTAAATGTACATGATGCTGAAGCCAAATTTGAAAGAATCATTGAATAATTAAAAATTACATTTTCAAGTAGATTGTTTTAATGTACATGCATATATGCATGACATAGGGGACCAGGTATTAATTGCAGGTACCTTTAAAGATCCTGTAACTCAATTTTTTTTATGGTTTTATATCATAATTATAATGCTCAAATGAAGATTTATTAATAGTGTAAGTTTCAAAAAGCATTATTTGCAAAGATATTCAGTTTTCATGTTAATGAAGGGAGGTAATTAGAAATTTATTTGCTATAAAGTCAAAGAGGATTTTACATGGATGCATTGAAAGAGTTTTTTTTGTAACAAATCTTTGGTATTGGGAAAATAAATAAATAAAAAAAAAATGAACAGAAAATTGTTTATTAATTTTTTTAAACGCCCGTTTCAAAAACGGGTAGTATTATAGTTCCCCCCCTGGCGGGAGTGTGGGCGGCTGTGCGGGCGGTGTCCAATATTTGTCTGGAGCATATCTCCTTCATCCGTAGAGGAATTTTAATGAAACTTCATAGAAATGTTCACCACAATGAGAAGCCGTGACGCACACATGAACCAGGCCTCAAGGTGAAAGGTCAAGGTCACTGCGGCCATAGTCAAGGTCACAAAAAGGGGTAAAAGTTCAGATAAAAATATGAAAATGTGTATTGGGACAATTTAGTCATTATTGTGTCGCCTTGAAAAGGTGACATATAGGGGTTACTTTTGTTGGCGGTGGCGTCTGTGTCGTTGTCGGCGTCGTTGTCGGCGTCCCCTAAAGCTTGTCCGGAGCATAACTTAGACACTATAAGTCTGATTGACTTCAAACTTGGTATGCATGCTTCTTTCAATAACGCGAAGTGCAGTGCACAAGGACCGGTACCCTGCAGTTTTTATTTTTTGAGTTATTGCCCTTTGTTAATTTTCATACTTTAATTTTGTCCGGGCCATTTCTCTTCAACTAAAAAAGCTATGGACTTTAAACTTCATAGGATGATAGATCTCATTATTCAGAAGTGCAGTGCACAAGAATCGGTACTCTGCACTTCCTAATTTTTGAGTTATTGCCCTTTGTTAATTTTCATACTTAATTTTTGTCCAGGCCATTTTTCCGAAAGTATAAAAGTTATGGACTTGAAACTTGATAGGATGATAGATCTCATTATTAAGAAGTGCAGTGCACAAGAATTGGTACTCTGCATTTCTTAATTTTTGAGTTATGGGCCTTTGTTAATTTTCATACTTAATTTTTGTCCAGGCCATTTTTCCGAGAGTATAAAAGTTATGGACTTGAAACTTGATAGGATGATAGATCTCATTAAAAAGAAGTGCAGTACATAAGAACTGATACTCTGCATTTCTTATTTTTGAGTTATGGCCCTTTGTTGATTTTCTTACTTTATTTTTGTCCTGGTCATTTCTCCTCAAGTATGAAAGCTATGGACTTGAAACATCATAGAATGATAGATCTTATTGATAAGAAGTGCAGTGTACAGAAACTGCTGCTCAGCACTTATTATTTTTTTAGTTATTGCCCTTTGTTATTTTTCATATTTCATTTTTGTCCTGGCCATTTCCCCTAAACTACATTGTTCACAAGGCGACACATCCGACTCGCGGAGTTCTAGTTGAGGGATTGTAACACAAATGGTCATTATCATGACTACGGCTGTGACACATGTACTTTAGGTCAATATATGTAAGGTCAAGGTCACTAATGATGATTGCCAAGGTCACTAAAGATGATAAACTATAGAGATTTTGTCCAGAACATATCGCCTTCATATACGAAGGGATTCTAATGAAACTTCATAGAAATGTTCACCACTATGAGAAGCCATGTCCTGTGCATGAACCAGGTATCTAGGTCAAAGGTCAAGGTCACACTTAGAGGTAAATGGAAAACACTTGTCCGGAGCAAAACTTCTACATGCATTGAGGGATTTCAATATAACTTGGCACAAATGTTAAATATTGTGAGGTGGAGTGTTGCGCGCAAAATTTAGGTCCCTGCAGCTAAGGTCAAGGTCACACATAGGGGTCAAAGTTCAGATAAAATATCACGAGATGATAATAAATCCAGATATTTTCCAGATATTGTCCAGAGCATATCTTCTATATGCATATCTGTAATGCCGCAGCCCACATTTCTCTCAAAAGCTTCTGTGATGGGCGTATATTGCGACAATGTTGCCCTTGTTTTTTTTTAAATTTGCCTTTAGAAATCCCCCTAAACTACTAATTCAAATTAATTATGCGTTGATTATTTTTTCTTTCATGAAATATTTAAACATCAGGAAATATATTAATCAAAATAACAACTAGATGAAAATATGCAGTGAAAATAAGGAAATTTCATTTATTTTGTAATTTTATTGAATCTAACATATCACCTCGCCGAAAAAACAACAAATTGCATAAATGATATTTGTAGTAATTTTCTTCTTATTCTCTATGGTCAGCAGATTTAACGGACAGTTAAACTCGCAGTTAAAACTGCTGACCAGTTAGACGAAAAAACTATTTGCAAAAAGAAAAAAATAGTCCCACTTGTTTTGTTTTTTTACAAACGTCTTAATTACCCCACGGCAACTTAACGAGTTTTCCTTCTTTTCAGTTCGTCAGCAGTTTAGAACCGCCCGTGAGTTGCTGTCCTTTTAAAGCAATCCGCCATGCCCTAGTATTGAACACAGGTAACTAGTGGCATTGATTTGACTAAAAATGTGTTTGACCTTGTTATTTATACCAAGAAATATCAATATTTAAAAAAAAAAAAATTAAAAAAAAAATTTTTTTCACTGTTATATTATTATAGACTATAATAATATAACAGTGAAAAAAAAATTTTTTTAATTTTTTTTTTTTAATATATTGATATTTTCTTGTATTGAAAAGTCAAATGCAAGGAAAGCAGTATTTTGAATAAACAAAATATTTGTAGGTAATCTTTCGCATCCTAGAAATATTCCTGAATATTTCATAGCTATTTATAAGATAATTATAAAGAAAATTAGGTAGTTCATTAAAAAAATTGTGGAATTGTAAATGAATTAACGATTCGCCACTTTACGACTCGTCCTAGCTAAATATACTTCAGCTAACAGGTTTTATAGTACTGCCAGACCTGTACTGTCATCAAGTGCACTGATGCATATAGTTGGGGTTTTGTGATTAGAAATTTTTTGACCTAATTATGGCCCTTTGTTTTTTTCCATAAAATGTAATTATTAGTGTAATCACAACTACAACACTTAACCAAACTTTATCATGTATTAAACAGAAACTATCTAGGTTGCTGCAAGCCTGCCAGCTCATCTGCCTGCTTTTGGGTCCAGTAGAGTCAAGGTCAAGGTCACTGTCACTAAAAATAGAAAATAGGTTTCCGGTCAATAATAAGATATTTTTATGAAATATTTGTAAAGAAAGTTTTTATAAAGACCTCACTTGGGATGGCTTTTGGGCACCCAAGGGTCAAGGTTACATTTACTAAAAAATAGAAAATTCAGTATTTATGATTTACATTGCACATAGTTGCATTGTTTGTTACTTGTATTTGTATTTCAACTACAATTAACAGATTTATCTACAATGGGAATATAACTGAAAACCTGGTTTCGTGGCATTGCCATGTTTCTTGTCTACTTGAATATTTTTTTGCACAGTTATGGCCCCTTCATGTATAATAAGATTCTCAGCACTTCATTACAAAAACCGATAGAGGGATTTCAGTGTAGCTTTACCGGATTGTTTGTCACCAAGCCTCGTTGTGCATAGTATCTTGATTTTCCACATGAATTTTTTTGCACAGGTCAAAGCTTCCTTTCAGTAACTTTTCAGTAACGGATATTAATTTTCATAGTTTTGTCTTACTGCCCTTAGTATTTAATTAGTCGAGCTTTACTGTCTCCTATGACAGCTCTTCTTTAAGTTATAACAACATTGTATATACAAATATGGGAAATTATTCACCCACCTAGGTATGTGGGGCCAATTTAGACTCAAGTCCTATAATTTGAACAAACTTGTTCACTAGACAATGTTTTGTGCTAAATATCTAAGCTATTCGTTGTTTTGTGTTGATGATCAAAAATAATTATATGTTGTATTTATTATTTTATAGAAAGTCTGACTCCTGATGCAGTTGCTGAACTGTACATGAAAAATCTTAAGCAATACAGTTATAATATATGCTCAAACAGCCCTACATGCCCTAGAAACCAACAGGAGTGACACATTAGAATACATACTGGAGAATTAACATTTGCACATGGAAAACTCAGACATGAGCAAGAAATGCAAAATTGATGATGACACATTTAGCCCTATGAGCCATTTGAAACAACATATGAGAATTCACACTGGAGAAAAATGTTATAAATGTAATAATTGTGATGCCACATTCACCCGTATGAGTAGTCAGAAGATACACATGAGATTACATATTGGAGAAAAACCTTTTAAATGTAAGGAATGTGAAAGCACATTTAACCATAAGAGCTCTTTGAAGCTACACATTTTGAAACATACTGAAATAAAACCTTTTCAATTTAATGTTTGTGATCGTACATTCTACCAAAAAGGTGGTCTGAATCAACATATGAGGAAACATACTGAGGGAAATCCTATTCAGTGTGATGTATGTAAGGGTACATTCAGCCGAATGAGTAGTTTGAAGAGACATATGATGATACATACTGGAGAGAAACCTTTTAAATGTAATGCATGTAGTAGTGCATTCACAGATATGTACAGTCTTAAGGAACACACGAGGATACATACTGGAGAAAAACCTTTCAAATGTAATGTATGTTTTTGTACTTTCACCCACATGAACAGTTTGAAAATACACATGAGGATACATACTGGAGATAAACGTTTTAAATGTAATGTATGTTTTGGTACTTTCACCCACATGAGAAGTCTGAATATACACATGAGGATACATACTGGAGAAAAACCTTTTAAATGTAATGTATGTTTTGGTTCTTTCACCCACACGGGCGGCCTGAAGCAACACATGAGGATACATACTGGAGAAAAACCTTTTAAATGTACAGTCTGTAAAAGGGCATTCAGACAAACTTTCAGTTTGAAGAGACACATGATGATACATACTGGTGAAAAAACTTAAATATGTTAGGTCAAGGAATATGTTCAGCAAAATGAGAATCATTATTAGAGAAAAAAGGTTTTTAAAGATAGTATTAGATCATGTATATGCTGGCACATTTGATATTAATAGCTATCTGAACAAACACATGTCATTAGGACACAAGACCAGCGTTTTAGATGTCAAGTCAGTTAAGTACATTAAGCAATTAGGATACATACTGAAGAGAAACATTTAAAATCAATGTGTGTGAAGTGAAAACTATCTGAAACAAGACACATTCTATCAGAAGCTATTTTCCTCCCCAAACATTATATCATGTGTTAACAGTGGGCAAAATCTGACCAGCAATAATTCTGTTGAAAACTAGAAATGTGTCATCATGCCATGGATGCCCCCGCATGCAGCCAAAATTTCAGATGGTGCATTAATTATTTTTTTCATTTTAAGTTTAAAGCCCTTAAAACTTCAATGTGAACACAAACCATTTTCATACAATGTTCAAGGCACTGAAATTATTCAGTCTAAACGTTTTAAAAATAGCATATTGCATATTTGTAGCCAAAATAATGGCTTAAAGTAAGAGTGCTGAAACTGAAAGTTCAAAATTTTTCCAACATTCAGGAAAGATAAGTTTGTCTTAAATCATTGAACTACAACCAAATTCAAACTTAAACTGCTTATTCCTAAGATGTATCTGTATTATTTTCAAAGTGAAAGGGACATAACTCTGCCAAAAAATCATCAAATCATGACCAAATTCCAACTTGACCTGCCCATTCCTTTGACATATCCATATGTCAAATTTAAGTTGAATATGTAACACTGTTGGGTAGATAATGAACAGAAACTTTAAATTTCATATTATTTTCAAAGTGAAAGGGGCATTACTCTGCCAAAAATCATTGAACCATGACCAAACTCGAACTTGGCCTGGGCATTCCAAAAACATATCCATATGTCAAATTAGAGTTGAATGTGTTGTACCATTGGGGAGATAATTAAAGGAAACTGAAAATTTCATATTACTTTCAAAGTGAAAGGGGCATAACTCTGCCAAAAATCATTTAAACCATGACCAAATTTGAACTTGACCTGCGCATTCCTTTGACGCATCCATATGTCAAGTTTGAGTTGAATGTGTTGTACCTTTGGGGAGATAATGAACAGAAACTGAAAATTTCATTATTTTCAAAGTAAAAGGGGCATAACTCTGCCAAAAATCATCGAACCACGACCAAATTCGAACTTGACCTGTATTTTCTCATGACATATCCATATGTCAAGTTTGAGTTGAATGTGTTGTACCGTTGGGGAGATAATGAACGGAAACTGAAAATTTCAAATTATTTTCCAAGTAAAAGGGGCATAACTCTGCCAAAAATCATCGAACCATGACCAAATTCGAACTTGACCTGTATTTTCTCATGACATATCCACATGCCAAATTTGAGTTGAATGTGTGCAACCGTTCTTAAGATAATGAACGGAAACTGATGATGACGGAATGACAGAATGACGGAAGGACGGAATGACGGAACAGGGTAACACTATGTGCCCCGGCCATTACATGGCGGGGGCATAATGACACATGAGGATACATACTGGTGAAAAAAACTTTTAATGTGATGTATACAATAACACATTTAACCTTGATGGCAATCTAACACATTAGAATGTAAAGAATATTATCACCCTTCATCAGTATACAGTCACGTAGTTTGACATAGTTACCATTAGAGTAAAGACCATTTAGTAAAATAACATCATCAACAAGAATGTAAATTCTCAACCTGTTTTTCTGTATGGTTCGAAAATGTAAGAACTTGATTTTTAAAGCACTTCATCTTTATATAACATCTTTTTTATGTCCTAATTTGTTCTTAATCAAGTTAATGCTATTCATACTTTATTTATAACTTAGTATAATTATAATATAAGTTGTTTTGGATGACAAGTTTGATAAATGTAGCATCTTTATTCCCAGACAATTTTCCTATTTTAACTTAAAGATGTATACAACGTTGCTATAGTTACTTACATGTATCTCATCAAAACTTAGATTGTTGTTATTCCTATTAGATGTATACAATAAATAACCATTTCTACATATAGTCTTATTTTAATTAGTTGAACTTGCTGTCTCCTCAGACAATGTTTAGCTCGACTATTCGCAGACTACTCCAGCTAATGCAGTCACCCATTTGTTAGCGTCAATGTCCCTGTGGTTAAATGTTTATGTATAAACTGGTATATCCATAACTACTTAAGGGAAGGGATTGAACCACACGTATTCTCTATAATTATCTAACATAATTTGCACAAGTCCAATAACTCTAATTTGCTTGTTTGCATAATTATGCCCCTTTTTGACTTAGAAATTCTTGGTTAAAATTTTGCGTGTAAGCTGATATCTTCATAACTACTGAAGAGAATGGATTGAAACTAAACACACTTGTTCTCTGTAATTATCTAACATGATTGACACAAGTCCCTAACTCTGATTTGCTTTTTTGCATATTTATGCCCCTTTTTATGCTTAGAAATTTTTGTGTGTAAGATGGTATCTCCATAACTACTGAAGGGAATGGATTGAAGCTTCATACATTTCTCTGTGATTATCTTACATGATTGACACAATTCAAATACCTCTGATTTGCGGTTTTGAATATTTATGCCTTTTTTGATTTAGTAATACTTGGTTAAGTTTTTGCATGTATGCTGGTATCTCCATAACTACTGAACGGTTTGCGCCTTTTTTGTAACAATTTTATGAATTCATAATAATCAAGCAGTGATTTACTTGATAAAACATCTTAATAGTAAGTCTTTGTACCTTTTTTGGACAATTTTATGTATTATGTAGGTAAGCATTATTATACTCAATGAAATACACTTGTGACAACTGTTCTTTCAAATTGTCTGGCGTCTTTTGTTGTTTTGTTCCAGTGATCAGACAGAAAATTATGTAAATTTTGTTGAAGATCAACAAAATACAATTTCTAGAAAGTTAAGCAAAAAGTGGCTTCGGAGGTTCAGATGTTGTTAAAAGTAATTGCTGATGCAGACGAATAACATGTCATTTCAATAGCTCACATTTGAGCACCATTGACTGCATAATTATGTGATATTGAAGAATCAATGAATGACAGGAAATTTTATTTTGATGTATATATTTACATGACATGGGGGGAACAGATATTTATTGCAGGTACCTTTAAGATTGGCGAAATAAGTGTCGGTAGACATATTAAAATCAAGTGGCTGTATGACGTCCGGTAGGTTGATGAAACGTAAAAGCCAAATTTCCTGTATATTTTCTCACGTTTCATCCACTATTGAAGTGCACATTAATAAATGATCCATATCATAATTATCTAAATTTAAAAACACTGGCCAGATTCTCTTCTGTGTCTTTAGTGAGTGATTATATAATAAGAAATAATAAAAATATTCCTTTGTAGAGACTTTGACTGAAAATAATATAGTACGTACTTTACTATTCTAGCTCAAGTTCGCGAACATGGGTCATCAAAAAAATATGTCACACAAACCAAATACATGTATAGTTAAACCTACTTAACGCTCTAGCTAGAGGTTTCATTTTTAGCTACAGATTTCTAGTTATAGTTTGAAAAAGGTCACATGGAGTCAAAAACTAGGTCACCCAGCTCAAATATGTTAACTCTCCAGAGGCAATATTTTCAGCTCAAATGTCCATGATATTAATCAGAAAGGTTCTTATGTTGATTTCCAGCTCAATTTTTAAAATCTTGGATAAAAAACTAGGTCAAAGAGCCAAACTATTTTAAAACCTTGATTACATTATAAATGTAAATAATTCAATTTAATAACTTATATTATTAACCTTATTACATATCGCAAAGATCATGATTATGCATTTACAAATATGGTATACATGAAGTGGAGGGATACAGTCAGAACTACTTTTCTTAGAAAAGCGTGGCATCGATCGCTTTTCATTCTTTTCCAACTTGGGAGCCGACGAAAAAGATTGTTGTACTGACGCTATATTAAACAAGAAGTATCTTTTAAAACGAATGTCGGCTGCAGTAAATCTGTTAAAATACAAAATTATGCTATTTCTAAGTTTTCAATACAAAAAGAAATTTTAGCAATGCTTGCATAACAATGACATGTTAATTATTTATTAAGACAATACTACGACAATACCCATTTTGTAAACATTGAAATAAAATTACAGCATATTTATATTGATGATTATTCAAAGAAAAACAACTTCTATTTAAGATGTCCCTTTTACTTGTTTTACGTTTGACTTTATAATTGTTTTAATCATTTACAAATTAACTCAAAATTAAAAAAAAATATCCTCATTCCTGTACAATTTATTTTGGAACTATCCTCTACATTTTATTTTATAATGGCAAAGCTTATCATCCCTTACATTTTATCAAGAATGCATGGTTAGAATCTACATTTTTATTTTAGAATAATTCACCGATTTCAGTTTGTAATTTTAAAATGACCAATGAAAATTCTTTTTATATTCAGTCCTTTCCTGTTAATTTTACAGGAAGTGAAACTGATATCAGACGGACTTCGTCCGTTTAAATCTTTTTACATAATTACAATCCTTATTGTCCCACTCTCCCACCAAAGACTTTTTTCGTTGTCAGTTTGTTATATAATTTCAGAAAGATGCTAGCCGACCATCGTCATGGCGAGTATATAGGCAGACAGGGAGACCAGTCCATCACGTGTGCAATGATATATATTTCAAATGGGAATTAAGAGAAGATACATTTCTTGAAATTCTTTAAAAGTGGAGAAACAGCTCTAATAAAGTCTACCGCGTTTGAAAATTGTTCTTATCAGTGTGACTTGGTCCTTTAAATGGCATAATTTTCGGAATTTTGCTGCAGAAAACTCAGAATATACTTCATAAAGATAACTGTTTAATTAGCATTTCAAATTTTCATCTGTAAAATAGATACTCGGCCATATGGCAATGTTCTCACCAAAACTCAATACTATATAAATTTAACAAAATCATAATCGGTGTTTAGTCTTTTTCGATGGGTAATAGTTTTAGCTAAAATATCCTGGAAATTTGTCAGCAAGGTTTTTTTTTCAAATGAGTATTAGGTCAAGTTCGAAAATAGGTAATCTTCGGTAAAAAAACTAGATGGCAGCTCAAACATAGAAAAACTTCGTTCACGTTTGCACTTTTTCAGGTGTATGACATTAGATTAATATTATGACATTTTATTTGGTTTTCATTCATTGCTTACACATGTAAATGTACGTCACACTATTTGTTACTTCACAAACTCATTAAACATCGATGAGATTGGTAAATGAAACAGTACTGTAACGTAAAATTACGATTTTCGTAATTTTACGTGATTAACTATGCCATGGTTTAAATCCTGTCGGTTGATTTATATTGTAAACTAGCTGAAAAAAGAACAAGCCGATATTAATTAATATGTTATACAGGGGTAATAAATTTATATCTATGACACCATGCTGTTTCTTCATTACTGATGAAGAAGTTGTGAAATGATACATTAAACAGAGGACTTTTATATGCGCTTTCCGATCATTGAATTATTAGTCCCGCATATTTTGATATCATTCACGTTTTAAGTGATTACTGCTTTAAATCTTCCTAAAATAACTGTTTTCTTGATGACATAACTTGAAATCACGTCTTTTAAAGCCTTTAATATAATAAATTGTAATCTTTTATAATTGTGTTTTTGCCCTACGCAGAATGCACATGCGCGAAATGCAACATCAGTTACTATGGGGAATCATATTGTAAAAAGGTTTTGTATGCAATTTAATTAAGCAGAAAGAAATATTGGTATTGCTTGTAATTCAATATCATTCTTTTGTGGTTTCACTAAATTATGTGTTTTCATATATGTAATATATGTTTGATTCTTATTCATTATGTTATTATATCCATGTGTTTGTTGAACTATGAATAGTTGAATACTTGAAGAATAACTGCAATGCGGATGACTGACTCTGTATTATATGTCCTTGGTTTTTCTCATTTCCTCTGGATTTTGTAGACAATGTATATAAATGATTTATTTTCGTATGAATAAGAAAATCAGTTGTTTTTTAAAGCATATGCAAAATATGATAATTTGCTATAAATATGCTTTATGTTCTCACTAATTTGCACCAATTGAGATTCAAATTCAAATTTCTATTAGGAAACAAAGACGCATATGAGTTTACAAGAGTACTTGCACCGTGATAGAACAGACGCATTCTCTGAAACGTAATCAACCGAACATATCTTAAAACCTTCACATTTAAGTTTGTTTACTTAATCTTTATTCTCAGATTTCGACAGCTGTTCGAACACAAAAGTTTGACGATTGCTTCATATGAGTTGTTACATACGTTTAAACGTTTAAAAAAACCCTCACAAGTTACATCTTGCAGGAAGCCTTTAAATACCTGGTAAGCAATATTGCCAGCTCATACCTTACGAGAAGTGCAGTGACAGCATTTGATATATATGTTATACATATCGTTGGAACTGCTTATTATATCAACAAAAAACTATGTTGACTTTCTTTTGTTTGGTTTGGATGCTGCTTGTCTCCATCACTGAGTCAACGTATCAAGTGAAAAAACCGGGTATGTTTCAAAATATACTGTTAAAGATTTATTGATGTACTTTTTATTAACGTTTGTTTGTTTTATAGTCCTTTAGTCAATGGTATTATTTATCATAAAGATTTTTTTATATGACAAACAGCTGGTTTTTTTTATTTTTGAGGAAATAACAGCTTATTTCTTTTTATTCAATTCGAAGTTTAATAATTTAATTTAATAATTTAATGATATGTTCTAAGCATAAAATGTACATGCAAAATGTTCATTCTACAATGCACTTGTTACAAGATACAATGAAGGATTGCGGCATAATGATATAGATAACTAATGTGACTAATTAGAGAACATCGAATACCTAGCAAAAATCCTTCATTTTCTTTAAAACATGATTGTTATATATTTATTATCATTATTATTAATTTTAAAATAAATCGTCCACCGTCGTTATCAGGTAACAATTTTTAAATATTTTGAGAAAAACTAAACATTGGTTTGGAAGTATATCTATATATAATTCAGTTCAAATCAAGAAATTCCCATAGATAACGTTTGAGCACGTTGTCTAAATACTGAATACTTAAGGCGATGCTAAAATGTGTGGTCGATAGTTTTCAAAAATATCTACCGTCTATGAACAGACTCAACATAATCGAGGTAGCAGTATTTTAATTTTGCCATTCTTGTCTTCTTTCGGAACTCGGGTTTTCTCTACTTTATTAATCTTCTCTTTGCTTGACACTAACACAACTTTATTTTCTAGAAAAAACTAGCCTCGAGAACTAATTATTACGGTGTTCCGTTTGGATAATCGTGTTTTTATTTAGTCTGTACCCGCGATGCACGATGGAATGATGATGAAAACGCGATGGCACGCTGGTACGATGGTGAAAACACGACGGTACGACGATGAAAACGCGATGGTACGATGATGAAATGTCGATGGTGCGATAGTGATGTGACATCGCGATTTCACCATCGTACCATACCATCGCACCATCGTGTTTTCATCATCGTACCATCGCGTTTCCTAAGTCGTGCCACGTTTTCACCATCGTGTCATTGTGCTTTTACCACAGTACAATCGCGCTTTCACAATCTTACCATCGTGTTTCACCATCGTGCCATCGCGTTTTCACCATCGCACCATCGCGATTTCATCATCGTGCCATCGTCTTCCGGTGGTCATGCGCAATGTTACATATTAATCAACAATGTATGCCTTCTCATTATTTAACCCCGCACTCTTTCTGTTTGCGTATCTTTGAGATCTTAGATTTTAAAACATGAAAAATAACAAAAAGTACTCAAAAAATTGAAAAATTAAAGTTGCAATCCTTGTGCACTATACATATGAGGTTTCAAGTTGATAACTTAAATACAGCACAGGAAACTAGAAGTATCTTTAAAAAGGATACTCGGCCGAAGTAAAACTGGTTAACATGTAAAATTATGTTATTTCTAAGATTTATGTAATAATTACATAATAATCATTTCTTGTAGCTAAGAAAATATACATTTTGTAAACATTTAAATTAAATTATAGAATATTGATATTACAGATTTTTCAAAATAGGACAACTTCTATTTAAGGTGTCCCTTTTCTTTGTTTTACGTTTGACTATATAAATTTTGTAATCATTTTAGAATTAACCTAAAAGTTAAAAAACGTCTCATTCCTGTACATGTTATGTTAGAACTATCCTTACATTTTATTTTAAAATGGCAAAACTATCCCTTACATTTTATCTTAGAGCAATCCTTAAAATTAATTTTAGAATGGTAAGAACTATCCTTTACATTGTATTTTAGAATGACCAATGAGATTCACCGACTTCAGTTTAATGAAATATATTGACAATTAAAGATCTTAAGCGAATATGGCGCCATGACCTGCCTAAGTTTTTCATTGAGACGTCCGACATACTAATCGGTCATTTCAAGGACTGTTTTAACACTATATTTGATTCCGGTTATTTTGTCTTATGGTTATATCGTACCATTATATAAGTACATTAATTAGTAGTTTTGGTAAATTATTTACAAAGGTATTAACAAAACTGGTTGAAAATTGGGTGCATGATAATAATAAACAGACTGACGCACAATTCCATTTTCGTTCAGTTTTGCACTCTTTAGTGAAACGAATACTATTCCAAAATTCACATCTTTATTATTGTTTAATAGACATTAAAAAAACTTTCGATTCAATCTATCGTATTGCTATTTGGTATAAACTTTTTAAACTTGGACAAGATGAAAAATTTATCAGAATATTTATGATATGTACACTTCGGTGTCTTCCTGTGTTAAACACTGTAATACTTCGTTAGACTGTTTTGATATATCGATTGGTCTAACGCAGGGCTAAAATTATTCGCCGATTTTGTTTGCTTTTCTCTGGAAGATCTAGAACAATACCTAAATCAAAGCACAGAAGGCGCTGAATTTGTTTAGGTCTCAGAATGTCAGAAAGGTGAAGGTTGTGAGATTCTAAACCAATTTGTTTTTGTATAGTGCCACTAATGCTTTCCAGCGTTACAATTGTTGTAAATTGTCTATAAGACTAATTGCAACACTGATATTCAATTCAATGTTTATTTGACTTAAACAATTTGAAAAGAAAATGAGTTGCCTACACTGGGATTTGAACTTCAAACCTCTCGCTTCCTAAGAGAGCGCACAAATCCCTCGGCCACGGTGAAGAAATATGCTAACGGCCTGAAGAAAACAATATTATTTTAAATTAGGGTTTGTAGCGACGCTAACTGTTGTTTAACATAGATGTAAATAATCATGGAGCTTACTATAAGCATTTATATATATATATATAAAGAATAAAACAATATAAGAAATCTTCGACCATTCGATTTTGCTTGAAAATTAATGCGCCTGTCATTTGACCATCTTTACGCAGTGATCTCCCCTGAATTTTTTGGCGTTAGTGTACATATAAAGGGAAGTAACCGCTTCAAAAAAAGCGGACTACTTTCGGCATTTGCAATTAACAACATCAGAGTCTGAAATTTCGCTACCATTATAAACATAATACTTATAATAACAACGACAAGGTTTTCACTTTTTGATATATGTATGATTATTTTACTGTTTGCCGACGAGATGGTTATATTAGGAAAGTCAATTGAAGAATAAAAATCGAATCTAAATAATTTAAAGCTTAATTGTGATAAATGGGTGTGATGAAAGGGGCCTTGAGGTAAACACAGATAAAACTAAAACAATGTTTTAGGAAGAGAGGAAGAATCAGAAAAAAATGAAAAATGATCATACGATAATACTTTATTAGAGACTGTTGATAACTTCAACGATTTGGGTGTAGTCTTTAATTATCTTTGGGTCTTTTTAGCTTCATAATCAATATGTTACAGGAGAAGCTTTAAAAGCCCATCTTAATATTAACAAATATGATGTGACCCCTTCCGTTTTACTTCAATTCTTTGATGCATTTGTTGCCTCAACATTAAATTATTCTTGTTTTCAGTATGGGATTTTACAAAATCTAAAGATATAGAAAAGATTTATTCGAAATTTTGCAAGTCATTGTTAAGCACAGTTTATTCGGACCTTGGCCGATATCACTTTTATATTCAAAGTTAAGATCAAATAATAAGATTCTTGTTATATATTTTTCATTCAAATAATAATATCTTTTTTTATCAAAAGGTCTTCATTGAAATTGTTATAACTCCTGGGCAGCTTCTATTTTAAATGAATATGGATTCACAGATGTTTGGCTCAACCCATTGCAATACAGTCAAAAAGAGTTTGTTCAAATATTCAAACGTAGATTAGTTGATTATTTTATACAAAAGGTAACTGCAGACCACTGTTGTCTAGTCTGTCTGTACATTTGATTGACAAATTTGTATTAAATCCTGCTGACAAAAGTTTTCTTCCATTAGGTTATCTTCTCATAAATTAAAGATAGAGTCAGAGAGGTTTGGTCCTAAAAGACATCCTCGTCCAAAACGAAAATGCAAATTATGTAATATTCAAGAAATAGAGGACGAATTTCATTTATTATCATTTGTTATTGCTATACTGCATTACGCAGGGAGTTCATTAAGCCATATTTTTACAGAAGGCCGAGCATGTTTTAATTTTTGCAGCTTTTGAATTCAAAAAATAAATCCAAATTTATTGGACTTGCTGAATACACCATCTTTGCGACTCAGCGTCGATATGACCTTATAAATATTACAATTTAAAAAAATTATTTCTAACAAAATGTGCATGATAATTAACCTTAATCCTTTACCGTATGGGCATATTGTGAAAAATGGCCGTTTCCATTGAAAAGCCATCTGTCACAATTAAGTTCAAACTGCTATGAAACTTTGAAAAATGCTTCAATACTGATGAAACTTGGCACAAATGTTGATTGAACCACAGCCTCTGTAACAGCATGCTCAATCTGTAATCTCCTGTTTCCAACGGAGGACTTCTCAAATTTAACTGTCATGTCAGCCTCCAAACCCAGGTGAAAATAGATACTTCTTTTTCCTTGGTATATTTTGAATATGATTTTAGATATTAACGGAACAAATAAAATATAAATTCAAAATGCCTGACGGATATTGTCATTTCATTATCATTGAAAATATTCTGACTATGAAGTAGAAGTTTAGATTATATTTCTAGTGTGAGCCCGAAAATATCACATTATGTTTTTTATCAACATGAAGATATATCCTTTTTTATAATGCGACTTGAATTATTCTTCCTTTTTATTCCTTCTGAATCTGATACACATAAAATATTCAAAATTTCAAACTATTTTTAGTTAAATGATATATTTTGAGTCTCAGGTACATGCAATCTATAGTTTACGAGTACTTGAAACTGTGATCCACTAAAAAGCATAAAATAAATCAATTTATTACATGCTTATCGGTGGTTTATAGAAATATATCAGTGAAATATAAAACTTATATTTGATCACTGCCTGAAACAGTGAAATTATCAATTTGATAATTTTCACTGTTTTGAATTTAAGCCCGTTACGTTGTTTCAGTGGAATACCAGAGTGCGTAGTACTGGAAACCAACTTAATGACGTGACATCGTAAATGTCGTCACGTAGTATTAATATTTCGCGCGATTTTCATTTAGTTTCAGGTTAAAATGTCTTTTTAAACGCTTCTTTGCATACAATGATAAGAAAATTCGTTTAGTTTAGTGTAAGATCGAAATACATTTCACCTCGTGAACACCAAAAGTTATTATTTCACTTTTGGCTGCGCCACTCGTGAAATATACCTTTCGGGTGCTGACTCAGTGAAATATATCCCGATCTTACACTGAACTAAACAATTATCGTCTATATATTCTTTAAAAGCAAAGTTGAAAACTCTATATTCATCATTCAATACAAAAGCAATGCTAATAACATGCGCATTTATACATTTAAGTAATCCGATCGTCATCCAAGAAATGATTTTTTTTTATCAGATTGTGATTCTTTATTAGATTTCATTTAAGGCCCCTCAATAATTTATAACAAGCATTTAATTGTTCATACAAAAATTTAAAATTCATTACAATATGAAATTTATTGAAATGTTTTGGTTTTTCACTTTTAAGACATATGTCCCAATGGCAGAAATGGTACATGTGGAACAATGAGAGGCCTTGTGTGTCCTGCTGAATCTACGTGTTTATTCACAAGAAATTATCCCGGCGCCAGTGGTCATTGTTGTTTAAACAAACATGTAAAAGGTGATACACATAAATTCTTTATTTAACCAGACAAGGTTTATCAGTTGCTAAAACATATAGTTACTGTCAGTACTTAGTAATCGATGTCATGTTACAGAAATAATTAAAATAATTTCAAATGATGTATTCTACTTCCTTAGAGAAAAAAATGTTTGCATGTATTTCTTCTTAAAGGTAATAAAGGTTAATTTCTGCAAGTGTGTTCATGTATTTCTTCGTAAAGGTAATAAAGATTAATTTCTGCAAATGTGTGCAAACATATATCAATTTTCATACTTAGATTTTTATTGGTTTGAACATATTTTTCATTTAAGTATGCCTGCAACCTGTAGAACCTGGTCCTTGCAGAGCTGCAATCACACGTTACTATTACAATAACCCTGTACATGCGAGCCTTTCAGATGGGGTGGCTTGAAATACTGTGTGAAGCATCTTGCGAAGACAAATTGAAAAATTATCCTTTTTTGTAAGCTAGCCGTAGACAAGGGGGAATGTATGAAACCATCGACGCGCTGGTTCTTTAATAGCGAAACCTGTCAGTGCGAACAATACACGGGGTGAACGGAAATAGTTTTGGAACAAAAGAAAAGTGTGAATTTCGCTGTGGTTGTAGTGAATGTAAAAATGTTTGTAATATGCCTATTAAGATGAGCAATGATGATGGACCTCGTTGCAGCGGCTATATGCCTAGCTATGGTTACAATACCAAAACTTGCAAATGCGAAAGGTTCATTTATTCTGGATGTGGGGGTAATGCCAATAGATTTGATACACTTAAAGCGTGTAATAAACGTTGTGAAAAAAATGAATGCAAAGCGAAACCATTGTATTCATGCATGTTACCGAGGGATGAGAGTAATGTTGATGCCACTCAAGATAGATATTTTTATGATAGCAAAATATGCAAATGTAGGAGAGCCCGTCGAGGTGAATGTAAAGGTAGAAAAACTTTCCCCACATCAAAGTTGTGTGAAAAGTCATGCCAAGATATGACATGCCCATCTACTGTTTGCAACCTTCCGAAGAATAAAGGGACATGTAAAAAGAACATCAAACGCTTCTTCTTTAACAAGCATACATGTAAATGTGAACAGTTTGTTTATGGTGGGTGTGGTGGTAACGAAAACAGATACGACACTCGAGAAGAATGTGAAGCAATATGCGGGAACATTGATTGTCCTGTTTGTAATCTTCCACCAGAGAAAGGAATTTGCAAGATATTCGAGATATTCGGATGGAACAAGAAACAGGAAAAATGGTATTATGATGCAGCAGAATGTAAGTGTAAGACTTTCACTTACAAAGGCTCCAGTGGAAATTTAAACCGCTTTGATACTGAGAAAGAATGTAAAACGTTCTGTGGTTCAGCCCCTTGTCCAATTTGTTCACTACCAAAAGAAACTGGGTCGTGCAGTAAAAACATTCCTCGGTTTTTCTACAACCCAGAGTCCAAAAGATGCGAGAAATTTGCATGGAAAGGATGCGGATTAAACTTGAATAATTTTGATAGCAGAAAGCATTGCGTCAAAGTCTGTGGACGGAACAACTTCTTTAAAAAGTTTATAAATACGATTTTTCAACACACTAAAAAATAAACTAGTTTTCTGATATGTGGTATAGAATTACTTATATAACTTATAAAATATAATAACACGTTCAATGAAGTACTAATAAAAGACATTTCAATATTGTTAGTTTGTTTATTTTAACGTGGTTAATTTGCCATGATAAGCTGTTATGCATCCGTCTGCTGTCGTCGTCGTTTGGCCCCTGGCAAACAACATGAACAATGGTGAAAACCAAGATGCATACCTTTTTGCACGAACACTGCAGTTTTAATTTGAAATGAAGTTCGTTATCTGCTTCCGTTTTATGTTTTAAGATAGTAAATGTTACTGGGGAAAATAGTTTGCCGACCCGAACTTAATAGAATCAATCCATCTTGCAGCGAAAAATGTATGTTTTTGTTTATAACTCTTTTTGTTGGAAATGACTGAAAACCAGATATATGTATTAACACGCTACATTATTTCCCGCTTCGTTCGGTATATGTTGCTTGCCCAACTATTTTGTAAAACAAAAATTAAACATAAACATACTAATTTTCTGCAGCCATTTTCACAAAAAAACTCACGACACATTTTTATCGTAAGTGAAATCTTACGAAAAATTTCCTATTCACAAAATATTTTAAGAAAATCTTAAGTGCAAAATTTGTCGTTACTTTACGATAGGTATTCGCCGTTCATAAGTGTAATTTTTTCTCTCTTAAAAGTAAAATATCATGCATCTTTTATCTAAACAGAATAAAAAGAAACAAAAATGAAAGGACAAATAGATCTATATATTAAGCAAATAATATGTTTTATTTCATGCTTTTCAGTGGATTACTGATTTATCCGTGAAAATTATATTTAATAATTTCACAGTGAAAATTATCAAAATATAATTTCACACTTTTCAATGACGTAACTACTTTTTTTTAAGATTTTCCCCATGTGGTACCTCAATTTTATTTTTGCTGACAATTCTGACAATGTCAGGCTGTTTAAAGAAAAAGCAAAGCTGAAATTGATAAATAACTTAAATGTCAAAAATAATATACTTCTTTTCATTCAAATTCCAATCACCAAATTTCGTCTCTAATTTTTTTGTAACAGTTTCATTTTTTACAGCCTAAAAAATACATTTCTTCCACATGCAAAACTGCTCTTGATGACATTTGGGCATATTAAAGTATCCTACGAGCAATTATTGCCGTATGCTTTATGAAAAATTGAAAAGCAATGACAGTCATCAGCTCGTAGAATAAGTAAACAACCCAGCGTTCCTTTAGCCAGCTTCCAAGTTTTCCATTTTTGATGATTTGATGGAGGTAAATTCATGGTGGAGAGAGAGTTATAAATAGTTTAAATGTGAACTTTATAACACATCTGCGGATGTTTCTAAATTCAAAATTTTACCATTTCATGTTTAAATGTTGAATTCTGCTTAAGCCGGTGCTAGGGGGCGTGGACGGTAGTTTGCACTTTACAGGACCGTCCATGAACAGGCTCAATCAAACCGAGCCTGCAACATTTTCAATTTTGTCGTGTGTTGCTTTCTTTGGGGATTCTTATTTTCTCTATTTTATATATTTTCAACTTGGGTGGTTCCAGTATTCCTACTTGAATACTGTATAATCACCCTTAGGATATGTTGCCTGCTTTTTAAATTTGTCTTTTGACGTCTTATCTGTGATATGCAGGCTTCATAACATCAGATCCCCTTTCAAAATTCCATTTTATTTAGTTCCGCCCATTGTTTTCTCGTTTAGGGCAAAAGCATTCTTTTACTTGGGGACCATATGCCGCTTTTCATGGAATGGCACTACTGTGTCACATTGAAGGTTCCATGATAACCGCCGTATGAAAACATCTGCGGATGTTTCTAAATTCAAAATTTCACCATTTCCATGTTAAATGTTGAATTCTTCTTAAGCCGGTGCTAGGGGGCGTGGACGGTAACTTGCACTTTCCAGTACCGTCCATGAACAGACTCAATCAAACCGAGCCTGCAACATTTTCTATTTTGTTGTGTTGGACTTTCTTTAGGGATTCTGTTTTTCTCTATTTTATATAGAATTCTTGAAAACTAATAATTTGTACAATTTTATGGGTTTGATTTCATTGCCAGCATGAACTAGTGGCACCTTTTTATTTATCCATACCTTAGCAATATCGTAGCAGACTGTTTATGAATCACTTAAGTCCATGTATTATTATTTTCTATCAAGATAGAGAATAAATCAGTTTGACTCATTTTTTCTTCTTATTGTAACTTGATTGTGTTAATACACATTTCAAGCTCTTTATTACTTGATTTTAAAACTGAATCAAATATAGAGCATGTATTACAATAGCAAATGAACGTTGCTAGGGATGTTTTTATGGTAAGATTTATCGTAAGTGAATTTTTTATCTCAAGATAACATTATTTTAACTTACGAGTGGCTTTGTGAAAATGACTTAATATTTAACTTACGATTATCGTAAGTCAAAAACTTAAGATAAATCGTAAGATTTTTTGTGAAAATATCTGCTGACTTCAGTAAAAGGGCATGACACGCCCGTGCATACAATGACGAGACGTCTTACAATTAAGTACATGTATATGCCTTATAAAAACTAATATAGCGTAAATACACACTAAATGTTAGCATTACAGTAATGAGCGTCAATAAAAAAAGTTCTTACATGTGCGTGTGTATTTGAGGCACATTTATGTGATAAATAAAATACTATATTTATATAGCGTAAATACCAATATCATTTAAGTTGTTACATAAAAAGATTTTTTTGCTCGCTAGGGGCTCGCATAATGTGATTTTTTTCTCAACGAATTCAATAAATCTTGTATTGAATCTATACTTGCATCAAATCCTCTATACAATATTTCAAGCTTGATTGAAAGGAACAGTACCCGTATAATCTACTTTCCACAAACTAACAACTTCCAACTTTTCTGTATGAAAAAGAGAGTCGAGTATGAACTATTTCATTGAGTCATCAAGGCCATGCACCTCGTCCAAATCATAAGATCTATATAGACCTACACTCTGACTCGGCGAAACGGATGGGTTTAGCCTATTATTAGTATCGTTTCATAAGGGTAAAACATTTTATAATGAATGAAAAAATACCAAAACATAGATTATATATTAAATGTTGCAATGGTTAATTAAAGCAGTAGGCCTTCAAATTCATGCTATTTTTCATGAAAATTTTGTATTGCTCTCTTGACGTCCTCTTTTTCAACATCAACGTTTTTGAAATAGACATTAAAATATTACCGTTTAAGAAAGTGGAAATAAAATTAATAACTTAATTGTAGAAGAAACATGGATTTATTGTTAATAATAAAGTGACTGATAGATCGACACCCACTGAACCAACAAAGAAGATAAATCAGCATTGTACCCTACCGGCCATGGGTTTTGTTATTTATTTGGATCGTGAGACCAAACAAATAATGGTAGCGAAATTTCAGACCCTGATATGCTTATTTGCAAAAACCGAAAGTAGTACGAACTCGATCCTCCCTAAGTACACTAACGCCGAACAATTAAGGGGATATCATTGCGTAAAGATTGTCATATGACAGGCGCATTAATTTTTAAGCCTTCCCGAGGAAGAAAATGTAATTTCCGATTGGTCGAAGATTTCTAATATTGTGTAATTCTTTACAGATATACATGCTTATATTAAGCTCCATGTTTTTTTTCAGTGTTAAACTACAGGTTTACATCGAAATTAATAAAGGTTCATACCATTATTAAGAATAATGTGGTTTTCTTCAGACTGTTATCTTATAACAATGGTCGTGGGGTTACACACTCGTGTAGGAAGCAAGAGGTCTGGAGTTCAAATCCCAGTTAAGGTAACTGACGTTTTTTGTATTTTTTTTAAATTAAGCCAAATAAACATTGAATTGTATGTCAGTGTTGCAATTAGCCTTAAAGCTAATTTACTACAGTTATAACACTGGAAATAACATTAATGGCACTATACAAAACAAATTGGTTTATAATCTCACAATCTTCACCTTTCTGACATTTTGAGACCCAAACAAATTCAGCGCCTTCTGAGCGTTGATTATACTTTATTACTGTTCTTATTGTTTAAGCATTTAGTCATTTTGTAGAAACATAAGTAACATTTTTTTAATACTTAATTTTCAAGAAAAGGCATTTATATATATATATATATATAGATATTTTAAAGAAATAAAAAAAATGATATCAAGTAATTTTTTTGTGCATATCAATTCAATATTTGGCGACCTTTCAACTACTTTTGTCTCTACCATAACTTTAAGCTTATATACTGGTCGATAGCGCAAGAACATGCTGAATTTTTACTTTCATCACTGAATAATACTATATACACCATGTCACCCATGCCCCGCAAGCATATGCACTTAAGCACTTTCCAGTCGTTGCAAATATCATTCAAAGAAGGAGCTGAGGTATCCACGTTTAGTACATTAACACTCAAGTGGTCACACTTTGTTTCAATTGTCACCAAACTTGGTCCAGATGTTTGTCAAAGTTATTTCTCCGGACGAGGACGAGTTCGAACATGGGTCATATCGGATAAAAAAAACTTGGTCACAGAGCTAAAAATAGAAACTTTTTGTTAGCACTCCAGTGGTTACTGTCTCGGTCCAAATGTTATGAAAATTGTCCAGAAAGGTTGTTTGAATGATTTCAAGATCAGGTTTGAATATGTGACATCTGGCGACGAAAAAAAATGGATCGCAGCCCAAATATGGAAAACCTTATTGATACTCTTAAGGCTACTGTTTTGGTCCAAATATCCTTGAAATTGGTCAGAAAGTTTGACTACATGATTTCTAGGTCAAGTTCAAATATGTGTTATCTAGCGACAATAACAAGGTCATACAGCCCAAATATTGAAAAAAAAACTTTGTTAACATTCTAGAGGCTCCTTTTTTGTTCAAATATCCTTAAAGTTTTTCAGGAATGATGATTTCTAGATTGAGTTTGAACATAGGTCACATGGGGTCAAAATCAAGCTCACACA